GATTTTTTAATGTCTCCGCATCCTATCTAGTGTCCTCGGGAAAAGGCCCTTTATACGAATTATTTTTCCACGCGGGGAGGTCCTCTTGGAGATGGGCCTTAATTTTAGAAGTCCAGCTTATTAAATAACCTTACACTTGTGCATAGATGCATTGGACCTGTAACATTTCATTAAAAATATTACGTATCCCCCCCTTGCGCCCCGCTTAGAACGAAAGAAAAGGTCGACAGCGGCAAACAACGCCGTACACATATTATACAAAGATCAATCATCTAACTTCCCTAACCTTCACGAGACAAATTATAATATATAGAAAAGAAAATTTCGCAAAATCATTAACCTTCTTCCTCGTATCAAATAACTATCATGGAAAAACGCCTGGAGTGTAGATATCAAGGACGTGGCAATGCAGGTAGATCCAATGTAGGTGAAAAGAAGGAAAGCAATATCTCGTGCGAAGTGACTAGGGGATACGTACAGAAACTTTTCCTACTGACAACGGAACTCTTTTGCATACAAAAACTCAAAAGTCTTTGCTTTTGAATGTTCAAGCCTAAACAAAATTGCGATGCAGACGGAAATGGGCGCAAAGTTCTCCTCCTTCATGGCCGAAATGCATAATTTCTATTTTAAAAAATAGCGGAAATTTTCTAGGTCCCAATAAACTTTGGAACTTCATATCTTTGTTGAAATAAAGTTTGTTTTTCATGTTTTTACAAGCTTTGTCTGATTGTAAAATTGTATTCAATCAATATCCTTCACCTGTTTACCCCAATCACTCTGATTTCAGACTTGTTGGGCACGGTATAGGTCTAATCTGAGCAAAATCTAACGAATTAACATCTGGGACTGTACCCAGTGTTGGAACAATAGTGGGCCTGTTCTCAGTGTCACTGGGAATAGTTTCTTGGCCTATTTCCATTGACATTGGGAACAGTTCTGGTCTATTCCCAGTGACTCTCTCACTGTGAATAGTTTCTGGGTCTATCCCCAGTATCACTGGGAATAGTATTTTCCTATCTCGTGCTGTGATAATCCAGTTGCTAAATCATACTGTGGTATGTGGTGTATGGAAACACCCAAAAATGTTTCGAAATCAAAATGTTTCATTGACATTCTTGTGTTTATTTGTTGTTTTAGGGAATACAATCGCAAAGCCGCATCGTTCGTGTGCTAGCACTGTAATAGGATACAAACTTGTCTGTCTGTTTTCCAACAGATTTACAACATCCGTAACAGCCGTCAGATGTGTCTTATCCGTGAATTTTCGCCTCGGGTCGTTGTTACGTTGGCGTTGTCTTTAATGAGAGAGATGATGCCATCGCCAGCAGAGAACCTATCACGCCGGACCTCCTGATGGGAGACCGAGATGCTGACAGCACGTGCGGGAAGCTAACCCAGAGGAAGAAAGTGATGATAAGGGTGATGAGTGGAGGGAGAGATTGGCCCGCCCACTAGGCCAGTCTGATTCTGACTCAGCCAGACACGAGAGCAACATGACAACTTCTGACAGGCGTCCCTTGTAGGGAGTTGCAAAACCTTGATCTAATTCATAATGATTAAAGTGTGGCACATATTTTATTTTTTGTTTGATTGAAGCATCATCATCCTCCTCCTCATCATCATCATCATCCTCATCATCATCATCAACATCATCATCATCATCATCATCATCATCATCATCATCATCATCATCATCATCATCATCATCATCATCATTTTGAAATAAAAAAGCAGAGTAGGCAGGAGGGTCTTGATTGATTTACAGACAAAAAAGTATAAATGAAAAAATATATCACCATCATCATCATTGGGAACTTTGTGGTGCTGAAACATAAGATGGCCAAACTGGCTGTGCACAAAGGAGGAATAGCTTTCCCTGGGGTCACCATATTTTTTTTCAAAGCAGGCTGTATAACTGAGAGAATTCTGAGTTTTGTTTACTTTTAGTAGAGGTTTTACGGCGCTCGCAACTGCATAATAATATGGTCATTTGAGCGCCAAAAGATTAGAGGTGTTAGAAAAGAAGAAGGGGAGATAAGGACGATAGATGTTTGATATGATAGAAGGAGCAAACCACACCAGAGCACCCGCCAACCATCCACAATAATTCTGAGAGCGGGCGGGGTTACTGCATCTCCAAGCTCCCAATCTCTCGGCCAATCTATTTGTTTTTCCATGGGTCTATTTTTATTTTCAATTTACTTAGAGGTATAATATTATTAATATCATAAAGCCAAACCTTTCCTGAGCACATCGCTCTCTCAAACGCAATGTCACCCTATGCCTTCTCAGTTCTAATGTTTTCCTTTTTACCGATTTATCTTCTTTTCCTTTGCAATAAAGCCCCGTTCTGTTGATAGATCACTGAGAAGTTTGTGAAGCAATTTAACAAATTTGCCAACATCTTTTATTTCCCCCAAGAAGGCACTTTATGTTAGCAAGACTTCAAAAACACACTGCCTGTCAGTGTAGTCTCACACATACATACTCATACATACACACATGTACACACACACACACACACACACACACACACACACACACACACACACACACACACACACACACACACACACACACACACATACGTGGCGTTGTATAGAATACAAAGGTGTGTGATAAATAGAATACAAAGGTGTGTGATAAATAGAATACAAAGGTGTGTGATAAATAGAATACAAAGGTGTGTGATAAATAGAATACAAAGTGGGCAGTGGCGGGTGCTCTGGTGTGATTTGCTCCTTTTTGTATCGTCCTTATCTCTCCTCTTTTTGTGTTCGTGGCCGTCTTGTGGCACCTCTAATCTTTGGCGATGGCTTGATCATATTGTGTTGCAAGTGCCGTAAAACTCTTACCAAAACTAAACATAGAATACAACCCCCCCCCCCCAACCACAAGAGAGTCTTTAAAATGATTAATTTAACCAACCCCCAAAAAACCCAAATAAACAAACAAAATTAAAAAGAAACAAACAAATAAACAAAAAAGGAGAGGGTACAATACAAGTAGATGACAATAATTTCTATTAACTAATAAGGTTGCCATTTAGAAATAAAACACGATCAAAACGTAGGACGTTGTGAACCGTCTTTTTATTACATCAATTTTCGTTTTACCAAAGTGAGTATGTCATTATTTGTATTCAATGCGTCCATAAGAACAAATACAAGTTTTTCTCACAAATTTTTACAAACCATTTTGACATCGAAAAAAAAAACATGTAAAGAAAATCAGGCCTATATTGTTTTGAAATCTAGTTTTTACTTCTAAACTTCTGAAATTGATACTTTGGAATAACATTTCAATATAAAAAAAAGATTTTTTTGGCATTCGTCTAGTGGGTGTACGAAATAAGATGGATGCGACTCAAGACAGTCTTGAATGCGGCAAAAATAATTTGTGAGGCGGCATGTTGAAATCATGCGCTCGTCAAAATAATGAAGATGAAAAAACTGGCATTTTTCGGCAGGTTTGGGAATTTTTATCGAATTTTTTTTTTTGGGCTCAACACCTTTCATGCCCTTTGAAGAACACATTTCTGTGTGGGTTTTTACTGAAAAACGTTGATTAAAGGAATAAAAGATGTACATTTTCAGTTTCGGCGGACTCTCAAGCTAAGGAAATAACTCAACTTTGGCGGCCATTTTCTCGCTTATTTTACCTCTGAAACCAGGCAACCCCCACCTCCTTCAATCGCAAATATCTTGAATTGTATCCAAGATAAATTGATATTTTTTCATCAAAATGGACTGGTTTTAAGATTATACTGATAACTCCATATGCCCCAAAATTGACGAACGCCTGAATCCACCGCGTCATGACACATTTGTTGAATGCATAATATAGGTTACTACGTATAAAATAATATCTTCCGTTCTGCAACAGAACACAAATATCGATAACTAATCTAAGGTGCAAACGCGTAATTTTCTTGTGAGGGAGTGGATGTAACTGTGAGCAATGCATCCAAATTTATCATCGCTCAGTAGAAAAAATACACCCACACAAAAATCATCAAAACAACAGACATTAAACAACTTCTTTCAACGTTGATCGAAGCGAACATGAAAAGTGGGTAGCATGCTACGTGATCTACACAGCAGGGGAAACGAAAGGGGGGGGGAGAGAGAGAGAGAGAGAGAGAGAGAGGGGGGGGGGGAGGCAGACGAAAATTGATCTCAATTAATGGAATATAATACTCTAAAATGATAACATTATCAGTTTGAGGTTGGCTACAAGAGAACAGTGCAGTTTTGGAAAGTGTAAAAAGAGACCTTAGAAAACTCATTGCTGCGTGAGTCAAAATATTATATTACTGTACTCACCATCCTCCTTTAATATTCTCACACTCTGGCACTTTGTTAAAAAATTCATAAACAAAAAAAGAAATCAAGAAATCCTGTGAATCAATCTACAGTTATTAATTATCAAAATATTTATAATACATCATTATATTGACACTAATTTGCTTCATCATCATGTACCAATAAATACATAATGAATAAAGATATACATAAGAATATATATATAT